TAAATATTTTTTAACAATACTTTTTTAGGGGTAGAAAAACTATACTTATTGTCTACCTTTTGAAGTTATGAATAAAAAAATAATTTATGACATAATTAACTTTAAAAAAGTTTTAACACTTTAGTAATAGTTATGTGAATTGCTGTTTATCAGCAGTTTGGATATTAGTACCCAAAACTTTATAACTTATTATTGTAAAATTGAAAACTTTTTTAAAAAAGAGGAGACTTCTAATAAGCTTCTATTAAGTTTTTTTTATTTTATTTTTTCAGATCATTCACAGTTGGTTAGAACCTTTGTCCCATTGATTAGTTTTAAAGAAAATAAAAGTTTAAAATTAAAATCTTATGTGTGTTAAGCGCACAGACTTAATTAATTACCTAAGCACACTAATAACTTAAGTATCTTTATCTTAACATATGCGCAAATATAAACAAGATGTTTATTGAAATTTTAGGCTTTTTTAAAACTCTGTCCCTTTTATTTTTTATAGAATAAAATTTCTTTATATTTGTTATGTATTTGTTATCTTTATATTTGTTATGTATTTAACACCAATAGAACATTAAAAACGTTTTATTTTATACTTTAGATTTTTGGAAAAGATTTAGAAAAACAAGAAAAAATTTTTGTACCCTTACGTTGCACTTCAGAAGCGTAGCAAACTAAACACTTTGGCTAACTAAAATACACTAATCTGCAATTTTTAAATACTATTTAATAAATAAAAGGTGGAAAAACTTTATAAAATAGAAAATAAATTCTATAAATCAAAGTTAAAGAGATAATAATGTTATGAGAATTAGAATGTTGTCGCAATACAGTTTTCAAGTAAAAGTAAAACTATAAAACTTGAGAAATGTTTTTAACATAATTTGAAGTTAATATTAAAACTTGAGAAATGTTTTTAACATTGCCTAATTTGAAGTTAATATTAAAACTTTAAAATTTGACCATTTTAAAATCTGATTTTTTTCTAACTATTACAAAACACAAAAAGTTAAATTTAAAAACTCATTGAAAAGAAACTTATAAAAAGGAAACTAGAATAAAGTTTATTAATGACAATAAAAAATAGAAAGAAAAAAAAAAAAGATAAGAGCATATAAAGAAAAATGGAATTAAGAAAAATTACATCAAGTCTGAAAAAAATCAACAAAAGGAACTTTTAGAAGTTTTAAAAGGAAATGATGGAAATGTTTCGTTTCAACTTTCATATTGTTTAGTTGTTTTGCGCCTTATTTTACAGTTTTATTGATAATTTGAGAAGAGAAAGTTTAAAAGTTATATTATATTTGTGTTTAAATAGGTAGCTGGTTGGTCTAAAATATTTTCTATTTTAAAGATAATGAAAAACAAATTAAAGAAAAATTAACTAAAAGCTAGCATCATTTTTTTAATATTGTTCAAGCAATTGAAACCTTAACAATTAATACAAAATTCTGTTTTTGTTAAATCATTTTCAATGATGGAAGCAATCTTTCGAAATTTTTTTAATAGCAAGGTTGGCCTTTTTCTACTTATTTAACTGTAACTCTAAATATAAAAACATAACAAGAATGAAGGGAGAAAATTCTAATAAATATTAACATTAATAAATACTATAAAGGAACAGAGTAAGTTATATTGTAATTGGGTAAATAATAATATAACCTTTTTGATTCTAAATTAGAATAACAATGGCCTTAACTTTAAACAATATTATTTTGTAATAATTAAATTATATTTTTAGAATCTCTGTTTTTTTTTTTGTCTTAGTTTTGAGACTATACAAAACAATATTTTCCAGATTCCTTTTATCTTAGTATTATTTAATAAAATAGAATAACTGTTTATTGAGTACTTAAAATTACTGATAAAATTCATTATTAAGCAAAATTTTTTAGGTCAATTAACTAACTGAAATAAGATCATCAAACTTTGTATTTAGCACATATATTTCTACTATATAAAAATTTATATGTATACTTATAAAGTTTTATGCCTCCTAATCCTAACTGAACTTAAGAAAAAAACTTTCAAAAGGTAAAGTGCTCTTTTTACAAAAAAGAAGATCTGTTTAAAATCTAAATTGATCTGAAATCTGGATTTTGATCTTTTTGTTGTACCGCTGATTTGTTAACGGTAATAACTGATAAGTGTTATCACACATTAGATACATGTGAAGAGGTTAAGGTTTAATTTACATTAATGATCTTCCAGATATTCTCATATCTAAGGTGGCATGGTTTGCTGATAATACTACCATTTATTATTGTCATGTTAAGAAGCCAACTCTCTCTGATTGCTTGGAAAGAGCATTTGAGCTTGAAAATGATCTCACCTTTGCTACAACATGGGCTCTCAGTGGCTAGTGAACTTTTACTCAGATGAAACTTTTTTACAGCTAATTTTTATTGTATTAATCTAGATTTTCCTATATTTATGATCTGTAATATATTTGATTACAGTTCGATTCATCTACACTACACATTATCTTCTAGGTTTAACTCTTACTTTCGTTCTTTCTTGGAATTCATATATTAGACCCATTGCAAAATTAGCATCTACCAAGGTTGCATCTCTTTATTGCTCTTGCTACGCTTTTACTTGGAATTTATTCTTTATCTCTATTAATCTCAAATCCGTTCTTGTTTGGAATACTGAATAATGAAGCGAATCTTCAAATAACGCCCTTTTTCTTATAGACATGGTGCAAAAACATAGTTGGACTTGCGCGGTGCAAAAATGCAGTTGGACAGCCAACCCAACCAAACTTGCAGCCAACCTTCAACAATTATCACATTGTTGTAATGTTGCTTGTCTTTCTCTTTTCTATAAATAATATAATGGTTGCTGTAAATTCATTCTCATTTGTTATTTGTAATTCAATTAAGTCTCTTTCTTTTACTGTGTGTTCTTAAGTACTGCAAAAGCTCTTATTTGTTTAGTTTTTGTCTTTGAAAGTCTTTGTTTAGTTTTTGTCGTTGAGTTCTTCGAAATTTTCTCTCTTCTAGTTTTCCTGATTCATATTTTCTTTTCTTTCAAGTTGTCTCTTAATTGTTATTTTGATTTAATAACTTTTTTCCTTTGGTAACTTACAACTCTAATTGTGGTGACCTTTAGCCTTGTTGAAAATAAAGATGTTAAAAAAAATGTTGTGCATATCCTTGAATTTTTGGGGAAAAAAGTTAGTTTCAAAAGGTTTTAGTACAGCCAAAAAGTAATCATAAAGAGCAAAATAAAAAATGTTAAATAATAAAAATACAATCAACATAATAAGCTATTTTTATACTTATGTTTTTATTATTTATTTTATTATATTATACTTTCGTGCTGTCAAACTAAATCATTTGATTTTAGAGTAAACTAAACTTGATGTTATATCTTTACAAAGTATTTTTTATTAGAATCTGTCTAACCATCTTTAGTAAACCAATGTTTTTAAAGAATCATTTAAAACATCTTTACAAAATTATTATTGTTTATAAATTTGGCGACTCTAGATATCAAATTAATTTAGTTCGAATAGTTTCACAAAAATAAGTGAGTTGGATACCATTAGGTAATATGATTAGACCCATATATTTTACTGAGGTATTTTGACTTTTCTATGATATGAATATTTAACTTTTCTACAGCTTGTGTTCCAGAAAATATTATTTTAACAGTCTTGCATCTAGTTGTTCTGCTTTCTGGCAAATACTGTCATTTCTTTTTTTTAAAAAATTTGAGATTGCTCTGACCCTTCCAATTATCATTCAATTAGCCTAGTTAATATTGTTACAAAGATCTTTTATTAAAAAATTCTAGAGTCAAATAGCTTACATTCTAAAATCAGACTGTGAAATCTGATTTTAGAATTGGAAGGTATAGAGCTTTAATTGCAATAATTAAAAAAAATTAATTTTTCCTCTACTCCTGTTTTGTTAATAAATAGTATGTTTTTAGGAGAAATTAATAATTGATTAATAAACGTTGAAACAAATCAAGTAAGAAGAAAAAACATATCATATAAAAAATATCATTTTTTATCAAATCTGATAATTTATTAACTGCAATAATATAAAAGTTTGCATTAGATGTCATAAGTTTAGTACTATTGTTTATGGTATACAAAAGGTTTTTTTTATAAAGTTTGTCATAAGGTCTGTCATGCTCTTCTAGTCTTCTAGTTTGTCAAGTCTTCTAGATCTCTTTATATAGTTTATCTCGGAATATTTTTAAACAAAAGTTATAGAATCTTTGTTATTTAAAATAAATACTTAAGTTGACTAAATTTTTAATATCTTATTTTACAGCTACTTGCCCAGTTGCATGCAATTCTAATGCTACTTGTGTAGAAACAACTTGCGTTTGTAAAAATGGTTTTATTGGTGATGGAGTTACCAATTGTACAGGTGTGTTGTATATATATATTTTTTAGTTTTTATCTTTGTTTTAAAATTTAAATTAGGAAGAAAATGAACTCATATTTGATATTTTTTAGTTGCCTTTTTTAATCATGCTAGCATTTGTTTTATTTTGCAGCTACTTGCACAAGTGCATGCAATCCTAATGCTACTTGTGTAGGAACAACTTGTGTTTGTAAAAATGGTTTTGTTGGTGATGGAGTTAGCAATTGTACAGGTGTGTAGTTTATTTTTTTGTTTTTCATTTGTTTGTTTTAATTCAAAATTCAAATAAAATAAAATATGAACTAAAATTTAAAATTTTCTAATTACTTTTTTAAATGATACTAACATTTTTTTTATTTTTTATTTTGCAGCTACTTGTGCAAGTGCATGCAATCCAAATGCTACTTGTGTAGGAACAACTTGCGTTTGTAATAATGGTTTTATTGGTGATGGAGTTAACACTTGTACAGGTGATTAGTATATTTTATTCTTTTTTTTTTTTTTTTGTGAAATTTAAAAAAATAAATATGAATTCATATTTAAAATTTTTATATTACTTTTTTTAATCAAGCATTTTCATTTTATTTTGCAGCTACTTGCACAAGTGCATGCAATCCTAATGCTACTTGTGTAGGAACAACTTGTGTTTGTAAAAATGGTTTTATTGGTGATGGAGTTAGCAATTGTACAGGTGTGTAGTTTATTTTTTTGTTTTTCATTTATTTGTTTTAATTCGAAGTTCAAATAAAATAAAATATGAACAAAAATTAAAAATTTTCAAATTACTTTTTTAATGATATTAGCATTTTTTTTTGTTTTATTTTGCAGCTACTTGTGCAAGTGCTTGCAATCCTAATGCTACTTGTGTAGGAACAACTTGCGTTTGTAAAAATGGTTTTATTGGTGATGGAGTTAGCAATTGTACAGGTGTGTAGTTTATTTTTTTTGTTTTTTATTTGTTGGTTTTATTTCAAAATTCAAATAAAATAAAATATGAACTAAAATTTAAAATTTTCTAATTACTTTTTTTAATGATACTAACATTTTTTTTTGTTTTATTTTGCAGCTACTTGTGCAAGTGCATGCAATGCTAATGCTACTTGTGTAGGAACAACTTGCATTTGTAATAATGGTTTTATTGGTGATGGAGTTAACACTTGTACAGGTGATTAGTATATTTTATTCTTTTTTTTTTTTTTTTGTGAAATTTAAATAAAATAAGTATGAATTCTTATATTAAATTTTTAAATTACTTTATTTAATCAAGCATTTTTTTTTTATTTTGCAGCTACTTGCGCAAGTGCATGCAATCCTAATGCTACTTGTGTAGGAACAGCTTGCATTTGTAATAATGGTTTTATTGGTGATGGAGTTAACACTTGTACAGGTGATTAGTATATTTTATTCTTTTTTTTTTATTTTTTGTGAAATTTAAATAAAATAAATATGAACTCATATTTAAAATTTTGAAATTACTTCTTTTAATCAAGCATTTTCATTTTATTTTGCAGCTACTTGCACAAGTGCATGCAATCCTAATGCTACTTGTGTAGGAACAACTTGTGTTTGTAAAAATGGTTTTATTGGTGATGGAGTTAGCAATTGTACAGGTGTGTAGTTTATTTTTTTGTTTTTCATTTATTTGTTTTAATTCGAAGTTCAAATAAAATAAAATATGAACAAAAATTAAAAATTTTCAAATTACTTTTTTAATGATATTAGCATTTTTTTTTTGTTTTATTTTGCAGCTACTTGTGCAAGTGCATGCAATCCTAATGCTACTTGCGTAGGAACATCTTGCGTTTGTAAAAATGGTTTTATTGGTGATGGAGTTAGCAATTGTACAGGTGTGTAGTTTATTTTTTTGTTTTTTATTTGTTGGTTTTATTTCAAAATTCAAATAAAATAAAATATGAACTAAAGTTTAATATTTTCTAATTACTTTTTTTAATGATACTAACATTTTTTTTGTTTTATTTTGCAGCTACTTGTGCAAGTGCATGCAATCCTAATGCTACTTGTGTAGGAACAACTTGCATTTGTAATAATGGTTTTATTGGTGATGGAGTTAACACTTGTACAGGTGATTAGTATATTTTATTCTTTTCTTGTTTTTTTTTTTGTGAAATTCAAATTAAAGAAAATATGAATTCATATATAAAATTTTTAAATTACTTTTTTTAATCAAGCATTTTTTTTTTATTTTGCAGCTACTTGCACAAGTGCATGCAATCCTAATGCTACTTGTGTAGGAACAGCTTGCATTTGTAATAAAGGTTTTATTGGTGATGGAGTTAACACTTGTACAGGTGATTAGTATATTTTATTCTTTTTTTTTATTTTTTGTGAAATTTAAATAAAATAAATATGAACTCATATTTAAAATTTTGAAATTACTTCTTTTAATCAAGCATTTTTATTTTATTTTGCAGCTACTTGCTCAAGTGCATGCAATCCTAATGCTACTTGTGTAGGAACAACTTGCATTTGTAAAAATGGTTTTATTGGTGATGGAGTTAGCAATTGTACAGGTGTGTAGATTATTTTTTTGTTTTTCATTTATTTGTTTTAATTCGAAATAAAATATGAACTAAAATTTAAAATTTTCAAATTACTTTTTTAATAATATTAGCATTTTTTTTTGTTTTATTTTGCAGCTACTTGTGCAAGTGCATGCAATCCTAATGCTACTTGTGTAGGAACAACTTGTGTTTGTAAAAATGGTTTTATTGGTGATGGAGTTAGCAATTGTACAGGTGTGTAGTTTATTTTTTTGTTTTTTATTTGTTGGTTTTATTTCAAAATTTAAATAAAACAAAAGATGAACTAAAATTTAAAATTTTCTAATTACTTTTTTTAATGATACTAACATTTTTTTATGTTTTATTTTGCAGCTACTTGTGCAAGTGCATGCAATCCTAATGCTACTTGTGTAGGAACAACTTGCGTTTGTAAAAATGGTTTCATTGGTGACGGAGTTGACAATTGTATAGGTTTGTTTATTGTTTTTTTGTTTTGATACTTTTTTAAAATGTGAAATCAAACTTGAGATCAGTTCCAAGTTCGATCCCCACCACTTCTTTAGTATTACCGCGCTGAACTCGTTTCTCCGCACAGCGGCCTTGTTCGTCAAGGTTTGTGTTTCGAAGTTATAGAGTTGGGAGATGCTTATAACCACAAATAAGTAGCCTCCTCGTCTGTAGTGGCATTCTCGGCCTTGAGGAGGTGAATTAACAAAACAAAAAAAACAAAAAAAAGTACTTATTTAAAAAAAATATGTTTATATTTATTTTTAACTTTAAATATAAATTTAACTATATATATATATATATGTATATATATACATATATATATATATATGTATATATATATGTATATATATATATATATATATATATATATATATATATATATATATATATATATATATATATATATATATATATATATATATATATATATATATATATACAGTACTGTGAATATGTTTTAGACCACTTACATTTTCTCAAAAAATCCAAGAGAATTCTTCCTTAATATTTAAGTTTCGAATTCTATATTATAAAATTATTAAAACACATATTTTTCACACAAAATATGGAACAATAACAAACTTTTTAATGTCACACTTCATAAAAAAAACCCTTAATATTTACTATGTCCTCCTTTTGCCTTAATCACAGCCGAAATTTGCCGTGAAATAGATTCATACAAATTTGTTATAAAATTCTGCGGTATGTTGTGCCATTCTCTTTGAAGTACTTGAAAACATTCTTCAGCATTTCGGGGAGCATGTTTGACCTTTTTCCTGTCCAAGTAATCCCAAATATGCTCGGTTATATTCAAATCTGGACTCTGGGGAGGCCAGGTCATCATTTCCAGTATTCCTTCTTCTGCCATTTCATTTAAATAATTTTTTGCCACTCGGGAACAATGTTTTGGGTACTTGTCCTGCTGCAGAATAAAATTATGGCCCATTAGTCTCATTCCGGATGGTATAGCATGCTGTCATAGAATATCCACATAACATTCCCCGGTGAGTAGTCCCTCTATTTTGATCAGATCACCTATCCCAGATGAAGATAAACAGCCCCAAACTTGTAAAGAGCCTCCTCCATGTTTAATAGTAGGGTTTAAACACTCGGGCTGATAGGCTTCTCCTATTCTTCTTCGAACATATTGACATCTTTTCGTTCCAAAAATTTCAAATTTGGACTCATCAGTGTACAGATCCCGAATAAACATTTCCTGGGTCTAATCTTTGTGTTGTTTTGCATATTTAAGTCGTTTTTCTCTAATGCCACGCTGTAATAAAAGTTTTCGAATAGCAATGCAGCCTCGTAATCCTGATTTGAGTAGATGTCGTCAAATACAAGAAGAGCTAACATTTTTCCCAGTTGCTGTATTAATGTCCTTTGCCAATTCCGTGGATGTTTTTTTCCTGTTTCTCAAAGAAAGGGTTTTTAAATATTAATTGTCATCTTTTGTTAGCTTAGGAGGTCAGCCACTTTTCTTTCTATTTCCAAAGGAGCCAGTTTCTCTAAACTTTTTAATCATTTCTCTAATAGCAGTCTTCGAATATCCTGTTTTGGAAGAAATTTGGCGCTGCGAATAACCTTCTTCGTGAAGCACAATAACTTTTTGTCTCTCTATTAAAGATATTCTACCCATAGCAACACTTAATTAATCTAAAAATGTAAACTAATAACTTTATTTAATTATTTTTAACTATTTGTTTAACTGTATTCATAAAAAAAAAAAACTTTTTAAAAAATGTACCAAAACATTATTGTATTAAATTCACTCTATGACTACATTTTATACTGTTAAAAACTTAAATGAACGAATATAAATCTGAACCAGTAAGAAAAAAATAGAAAATATTATTTTTATGTATTATTTAGATGAATGCTTGGTCTGCAGTTATTATGACAATTATCCTTTTAATAAATAAACAAACATATCTCTCATGTTCCTCATAAATTTTTGTTTATTTATTCAAGATAATATATTCTTTCAACCTTTCTCAAATATTACTCAACTTAAGTATGCTTAAAAAAAAAAAATACACAGGAAAAAAATTGAAAATACAACTAATTATATAAGTGGTCTAAAACATATTCACAGTACTGTATATATATATATATAATTGAAAAATAAGTAAATATATAAATATTTATAATATTAATTAAAAACCATGCTTATTAAAGCCTGGCAACATAAAAAATCCAAAAAGTGTGTTCCACCACTCTAAATGAGAGAGTTAAAATATATTGTTTGAATGAGGGAGTTGTTTGGCATACTACACTATGTTTAAAATACAGACAGGTTTTTCATTACATTTAATAATCTTTTAATTGTATGTAGGTATGTATGTATGTATGTATGTATGTATGTATGTATGTATGTATGTATGTATGTATGTATGTATGTATGTATGTATGTATGTATGTATGTATGTATGTATGTATGTATGTATATGCATATGTATATACAATTAAATTTCAGTAAAACATATACTCTAATACAATTTTATTAAAAAAAGTTTTTTTATACTTTAATGAACCAACTTTAATAAACATAGTAAAACATGATATTTATCAAAAAAAGTAGGACCACAATAAAAAGCCATTACAATAGACTGAAATTATAACATTTAATCATCTTTTGATACAAAATTGTTTGTATCAAAAGATACAGTGATTGTTGTGCTGTTACGTTTTTTTTTTTTTTTTACAGTTTTTGTTATATTTTTAAATAAAATAACTGTTAAATGTTGAAAAAAAAACATGTATATATATATATATATATATATATATATATATATATATATATATATATATATATATATATATATATATATATATATATATATATATATATATATATATATATATATATATATATATATATATATATATATATATATATATATATATATGTATGTATGTATGTATGTACAGTTGTGTGTAGTAAAATAGTAGTGCGTATTTTATTTCTATCAGCAAACTTTGAACATCAAAACATATTTTTTTATTGTTTGTTTTTTATTTTTATTGTTCATAAACTAAATGTTGTGTTCATAATAGTATAAAAAAAATTAAGAAAGATAATTGAAACAGTGTATGGTTTTAAATTTTAATATTATCAATTGAAGGTCATTCGTATTTTACTTTTAGACTGTGCAATAAAATAGTAGTAAAAATCTTTTTTTATGAATAGGTCAAAAATTAATAAAATTTTATTACAAAAAATTTTTTTTGTTGAAGCTCTACGTTAGTATTTTGTAGCATGACCTTTATTTGTAATAACCGCCAAGCATCTTCGTTGCATGGAATTAATAAGATTCTTACACCGTTCGACAGATATATTTTGCCATGCTGACTGTTCTATGTCCCACAATTGATTACAACCTCTTGGATTATTTTCAGAAACTGCTTGTTTAACATCAATTCACAAGTTTTCAATCAGATTGAAGTCGGGGGATTGTGCTGGCCACTCCATCACATTGATTTTGCTCTCATTAAATCACGGTTTGGCTAACTTGCTTGTATATTTGGGATCATTATCCTTCTGTAACAAAAATTTTAATGGTATTTCTTCTTCAGCATAAGCAGCATGATCTCCTCAAGTATTTTTACATATACAAACCGATCCATGATACCTTCTATGCAATGTATCGGCCTAAGGCCATAGTAAAAAAACAACGCCATATCATTTTTTCGAACCTCTATATTTGACGGTCTTTAATGTAAATTGTGGCTTGTATGCTGCACCCGTTGGTCTTCTAACATACTGTTTACGAACATAGAAACCAAAAATTTTAATTTTGCTTTCATCAGTCCACAAAACATTTAGCCATTTTTTCTTTAGGCCAAGAAGCATGCATACGTGCAAATTTTAAACAATTTTTGATATGTTTTTTACTCAAAAGTGGCACTTTTCTAAATTTTCTTGCATTTAAATTTGCATGTGTTAATCGTCTTCGAATAATTTAGGTATTAACATTTAGTTCTAGCCTTTTTTTAATTTTTCTAGAAGTAATAAATGACTCCTTTTTCGCTAACGATACAATTCGACTATCTTCTATAGCAGTAGTTGATCTTTTATTCCCACGTTTTTCTGGTTTGGGTATCCATTTTAAAGCATTAAAAATCATTTTTGGTAAGCATCTAACCAGTTCTTATATTTGTTTGTAGGCTTTACCATGATTTTTAAGATTTATAATTAAATTACGAACTTCTTCAGTATAATGCTAAGAGCGCCCCATGTTTCTCTAAATTTTCAAAATTTTAGTAAGTGTATAAATTTATCTAATATTAAAATTAATTACTTACTTATTGCTTATTATTAAGAACTAACAATAATTGGAATTTAATAAGTACAGCAAATATTACACAAAAATTAATTTTTCACTAAACTTTTATTGCACAGTCTAAAAAAAAATATAAATGTCCTTCAATCGATAATATTAAAACCATGCAGTGCTGCAATTATCTTTCTTTAACTTTTTTTATACTATTATAATCACAACATTTATTTTATGAACAATAATGATAAAAAACAAACAATAGAAAAATATATTTTGATGTTCAAAGTTTGTTGATAGAAAAATAAAATGCGCATAAATAAAATATATATATATATATATATATATATATATATATATATATATATATATATATATATATATATATATATATATATATATATATATAGAGGGTTGATATATATATATATATAGAGGGTTGATATATATATATATATCAACCCTCAGAATTAGGAAAGTTGTCACTAATAATTTGCTGATCTCAAGAAAAGAGGTCGGCATCAGGTCGGCAAATACAAAGGTCTTACCATAAAACATCAAAACGAGGTCGGCAAAACCAATTTTTTTTGATGACCGCAAACATGTTTAGGTCGGCAGTTAGGTTGGCATTGACGAATGCCAACCCTAATTCCGAGAGTTGATATATATATAAATATATATATATATAAAAGTAATAAAAAAATAATGAATATATATATATATATATATATATATATATATATATATATATATATATATATATATATATATATATATATATATATATATATATATATATATATATATATGTATATATAGTCACAGCCTAAAGTTTGGAACCACTCATGAATTTTAAAGATTTTGATATTACTCACCCACCTTAATTAAAATTGCATCAGGATATTAACTTATTGAACACTAGGGATCGATAACAATTACTTATTAACTATTTTTAACACCTCAGCTGTCTGTATCTCAATATTCAAAAAACTTAAGAGGTCAATATCCATTGCATACGCTGTTTCTAGGTGTTAATGCATGAATTATTCACGCCAATCACAAGCCATAACTGACAGTGAATAACTTCATCATTAGTAGGCTGATTTGAATATTTAGCTGTTGACTGTTTTCATTTTCTATGTCAGTTAGAAGTTATTTCATTTGGATCGAGTTCAGGTTAGCTGCAAGATTACAGAGGTATGTCTGATAAAAATGAAAATATAAGATTGTAATTGTTGTAATTAATAGCTAATAGTATAACAAGTTTGGTATATGATTTTGTGTCATTATTAGTGAACTTTTTTTTAATTGGAATATAAAACGGAATTCTTTTATAAATAATAAGGTGATCCCAAACTTTTGGCCATATATATATATACTATAAATATGTATATATATATATATATATATATATATATATATATATATATATATATATATATATATATATATATATATACATATATATATATATACAAGTATATATGTATATATATATATATATATATTGAATTATAAATTGCAGCAACATGTTCAAGTGCATGCAACCCTAATGCTACTTGTATTGGAACTACTTGTGTTTGTAACAGCGGATATTTTGGTGATGGAATTTATAGCTGCACAGGTATGTCTGAACCTTTGGTATTTAAATTAAATTTTTAAGTTACAGTTACTTTTACATGAATTTATTATTTTAAAGTTTGTCAATTGATAAAAGGAACAACAGTATCTGAGTTTCTTATAAAATGTACTTATTTTAAAATAGTTTAGTTTTCAAAATCTTTATCTATTCTATTTCCCGATATTCTTAATAATCCCGAAAAAACATTGATCATAAAGATTACTATTTAAATTATGATATTTATTGTTAAAAATTTTGTGATTAGATTAGACAAATCCAACTATAAACAAAACTATTTATTTTTTTAAAATAAGTTTTTCTTTTTTAAAAATTCTGTAATTTTTGTGAATTGATTTGATTGGTCATTATTAAAATTTTTTTTAAGGTAAGACATATCTACTAAGTATTTTAGCTCAAAAGCTGTCTTTTTACATTGTCATAGTTTAACAAGAAGAAAAACAAAACTTTTTTTAGGAAACTATTTCTTTATTAATTAAATTATAAAATTTTTTAAAGTAAAAATATAGTATTTGTAGATACTTTATAGTACATATACTATAAAATATCTATAAAAATATTGAACTTCTATCTAAAATAAATAATAATTTATTTGGATTTTGAAAATTTTATATTTAATTGATTTAAATTTTAACAATTAAAAGAATCAATGCTCAAAGTGGTGGTATGTTTATTTTTTGAAAAACATTAATAGTGATGATTTCAATTTTTTCTGAGACAGTTTCTGTTTTTCGCTTCAATAAAACAACCAACCAGTGTGAATATATATATATATATATATATATATATATATATATATATATATATATATATATATATATATATATATATATATATATATATATATATATATATATATATATATATATATATATATATATATATATATATAATATATATATATATATATATATATATATATATATATATATATATATATATGTATATATATAATATATATATATATATATATATATATATATATATATATATATATATATATATATATATATAATATATATATATATTTATATATATAAATAAATATATATATATATATATATATATATGTATATATATATATATATATATATATATATATATATATATATATATATATATATATATATATATATATATATATATATATATATATATATATATATACATATATATGCTTTTAATTTAATTCAGCTCTCCAAGACTCTAGAAAGGAGCATGGAATTTTATTTGGAAAAACAAATTTCTAGCTGATCTTGGAAAACATTCAGAAAGTTGTGCCAAATAAAATATTTGAATAATAATTTCAGAATAAAACAATTAAAAACAAAGTGGTAATAATAAACTAAAAATTACATACATCATCAATTAAGATCATCATCATTAAATTTAATAGAAAAAAATTGGAATGAGGTTATAATTTTGAAAAATCATTTTTTTTTTTAATTTTCAAATTAATTGACAAACTTAAACCAGACTGTATTACAAATGTTAGTCAACATACTGAGCATTTGAATAATATAGGAATGATCATTTATTTATATGTGAGATTTTGAATTTTTAATTATAAATCTTTACTACAAAGTAAATAAATAAAAGAAATGAATGAGGAGTCAGATCAGAGAGAGGAAAAAACATCTTTACTAATCACAAGTGTAAAATTGAGAAAGACAAATCTTTTTATGTCTTAGAAATGAATCCACTTTTTTATTTAAGAGGTTTTCATTTTCACATTTTAGAAATTCTTTTTCATATTTTTCAGTTTAACTGATTATTTTTTGTTCTGTTTCATGTTTTTGATCTATACATTTTTTACGTTATTTAATTGTAGTTATTTTATTTAATATGCTTGTTGTAATTATTATGTTATTTAATTGTAGTTTTTTATTTACTATTTTATTGTAATTGTAGTTATTTTATTTAATATGCTAAATGTAGTTATAACGTTATTTAATATGCTTTAGATTGTTTGAGAGTTTTTTCCTCATAACTATGGTTTAATAATTTTAATCAAATATCAGCTTCTTTCAACTTTTATAGTTTCTTTCAAACCTCTGTGAGTGTTGGCTTAAGTCAGTGATGTTAAAAATTAAAAGCTTATGGAGGGGTTTTTTAAAATAAGAAAACAATTCAAAACTGCATTATTTTAGTTTTATTACAAATCTCATGGTTCTTAATATTTTATATGTTTTTCTATTTTTTATTACTGTGTTAAAAAATTTGTAATATGAAATGGTAGCTGTTCTTAATAAGTATTAAATTTTTAGATAAATAGTAAAAATTAAATATTGTATAAGCAATATTATAATTGAAATTAAATTTTTAAATATTGGTTTTAATTTGACGACTACTGTTTACTTTTGGAAGTTTAATGTTTTATCAGTTTATTGAAGTCATTTTTAAAGGTTAACCTCTGGATTTGTTTTGGGCAATGCCAAGATTTTAATCTATATTTATAACTTTTGATCTCTTGTCAGACTTTACTCAATGCATCCTATCTAGATGATTGCTACAAATATCCACACAAGCATTGAGACTATACATGACACATACATGCATACATACATACATACATACATATATATATATATATATATATATATATATATATATATATATATATATATATATATATATATATATATATATATATATATATATATATATATATATATATATATATATATATATATTTATATATATATATATATATATATATATATATATATATATATATATATATATATATATATATATATATATATATATACATATATATATATATATATATATATATATATATATATATATATATATATATATATATATATATATATATATATATATATATGTATATATATATATATAAGTGCGGACTTTACTACATACATACTGAGGATTTGGATTTTGGCAAGTACAATCTAGATATATTTATTATGTAAAAAAAAACATGGTATTTTCTTCATTATTTTTTTATTGTTTTTATTTAAAGATTGTCAGAATTGAACCAGGTGCTTTAAATTTTAAATGTAAAAACATTAGTACTAATTAAATCAGCAAAAGCATGCGAATTTTTTTAAAGTTTTTTAACATCCATAGTTCTAGCCAGGTAGAACATGTTGCTACATTTTTTCATTGTTCTTTGTTTTTTTTTTGTTTCTTTTTTTGTTTTTCTGAAAAAAGTACATATTTTAAGAATTAAAGAGCGCAAAATATATAAGGAAATTTCGTTCTTAGATAAATATTATCCATTGTATATATATTGTATCTTTGTATATATATATTCCTATAGTAAAGGCTCTAAAATTACCATTTATGGTAAAAAAATGGCAGTTAACATACACATTATTAAAACTATTAAGTTTAATTGAAGAAACTAATTAAATTTTATCATTTTTTTCAAAAAAAAACATGTGAGCTGTTATATTGACTGAGGATTTTGGTTTATCGACTGATGGTTTTTTCATGAAGAAATTAAATTTTGATAAATGATAAGGTTTTAATAATAGATTTTAACAGTTGCACTCCACTGTTTTGTTGTCTCTTATTTTGTTGTGCTCATTCAAAGTTACTTTTGTTTCACACTTCATTGGCTTTGTTGTACTTTTGTTCCTATTTTTTTATTTTATTGTTTTATGATTTGTTTATAGTTGTTTTATGTTTACGATTTTTTATTCTGGGGATATTCCAGGATAAAAATATGTAAGATAAGGGTAAGGTTGCCATTAAAAAATACCAAACTCAATGTACATACTAAAGCATGATTTTAAGCCCTTTTTTTATGAGTATTTATTTCAGTATGATGCTATCAATGACAATATTGTGTAAACAGTAGGTAATATTACATTCTCTGTGTATTTTGTTATTTTTGGTTTATAGTTCCTGCTATATGCTCATCTTGTCATCCAAATGCAACCTGCAATGGAACAGCATGTGTTTGTAAAAATGGTTATAATGGTGATGGAATAAATAGCTGTATTGGTAATCTTTTTACTTTTTTATTTTGTTACAACAAATATTGAGATAAATTTATATCTTATAACTTTTTATAACTTCTTTTCTTCTATGATTCTCTTTCTTTTCTATAATTTTTTTATAACTTTTTTTTTTAAAAATAAGCTACTTTAAAATGTGTTATTTACAGCTTGAAAAAATTAAACGTAAAACGTTATAGTAAAAATTTAAAATGTTATAATATTATATATATTATTATAAAACTCGTACTATATAAACTTTTACTTTTACCATATACATTTTATGTAAACATTTTATTTGTGCATTTTTTATTTTATTTGGTGATGTTTAAGTAAATTATTTATGCAAAATTTACAATGTTAATATTGGAGTAGAGTTTTTTTAAATGACTTTTTTTTAAAATGACAAATGCAGAATAAATGAAGTATTATCATTTGGAATAATTATACAGAAAAACTACAACAATATTTGGTGTGGAATACATAGAATTTTCTAAAAGAGTATATAAAAATGGAAAATCAGTTTTAAGAACATAAAATGCAAGAAAAAATTTTGTTATTAAAGTAAAATAAACAAGTTCAAAGTTTGATTTAAGTAAAAAAACCAGGATATTTCTTAGATGTCAGAAAGTTTCATCAATTAAAAAAATATATAGCTTTCTTTGTTGTAATGAACATAATGAATGCATTTTCAATTGACAGTATAACTGTAGAAAGAACATAAAGGGGAGGCAATTAAGTAATTGAAAAAAGTTTTAAAAGGTTCATAAGTGCCTTTTTAGCACAGAAAAAGCAGAAAATGGCCAAAGTTTTTTATTTGGTGTCATGATAGTGAAAGGTGTTATTTTGTGTGATGCATAAGTGGCTAAAAAAACAGAAGAATGGATAAACTTTTTTATTTGGTGTTATGATAGTGAAAAGTGTCATTCTGTGTGATGCTAAGCATCATATAAAAATTAATGCCTTGTTAATTGCAACATGAAGAATTTACAGGATTATTAATAGTTTTATGGCAAAAAATCTAAATATGAAAACAGCCTTAAGAATATTTTAAAATATATATAAATACACTACAATGTGAAAATTATACAGAGTTAAAAGTTAAAGCAAATGAAGTTGGTCACTTTTGATTGTTAATGTATATATATATATATATATATATATATATATATATATATATATATATATATATATATATATATATATATATATATATATATATATATATATATATATATATATATATATATATAAATGTATATATATGTATAAAAACAAATGTAATTTATAAATGCATTGCATTATTCTCAAATACACCCAACAAAACATACATTGGTTCAACAGAGGGCATGTGGAAAACTAGATGGGCAAATCACTAGCAATCTTTCAAAAACAAAAAAATCGCAAGCGCAACCACTCTTTTGAAATATCTATAGGATACACAAAATAAATCAAAAACAACACCCAATTTAAAATGGTCCATCATAAAAGGCGCCCCCACCAACATAATCAAAAAATGCCTATTATGCTTATACGAAAAACTATTAATTTTATCCTAAAGAGTTGTTAAACAAAAAAAAATAAAATAATATCCAAATGTTGCCATGAGAACAAGTTTTTCCTAGACAACCACAAACCAAAAGATTAGATTTTTTAAACTCATTTTCTTTTGTACAGAATTATTATTTTTTTATGACAAAAAAACATATTTATACCTGATGATTGCCTTAGAAACTTATAGTAGTGAAAAATAAGTAATTTTATTTAATAAAAATCTATATAAATACATGTTCTAATTTAAATCATTTTAATTTACTTTAATTCTTCAAGCACTCTCATGAAGATATATGCAAGCACTAATACGTATATATATAAATATATAATATCTATATCTATATACATATATATATATATATATATATATATATATATATATATATATATATATATATATATATATATATATATATATATATATATATATATATTATATATATATATATATTTGTCAATTCTGATTGATTGCTTGATTGTTTTTTACCAGTTAACAGCCTCTCAATAACAGTTGGTCCTAGAAACTTGAAATTTGGCATGGATGATTCCCATGATCCAGGGTGTGACATAGGCTATGTCAAGTTGACCTCGGAGGTCACTGGAGGCCGCCCAGAGTCGCGGGGGCTTTCAAATGGTCATTTCTGGATCGGGGGGGGGGTTGGATAGAGTGCTCCTTGTGAAGTGCAGAGTTGTTCCTTGCCCCCAGGGGTGGGTAGCAGATGACCTCAGGTGTGACCTCGGGGGTTGCTGGAGGTTGGAACGGTCTAGGGGACGGGTTGAGTGTTTCCTATGATTTTCGTCAATTTCTGTTGTGTTCCATAATTGCTGTTGCCTGTTTTGTTGTTTTCCAGAGTTTACTGGAATGTTTCACATTTTTCAGAGTAGGCCAGAATTTTCTGGAGTGGTCCGGAGTTTTCCGGAATATTCCATAGTGCACAGTGTGTCTGTTTTATCACCTTCCAGAGCATTCAGGGGCTTTCCGGAGTGTTCTGTGGTGCTCTTTGGCTCCGTCTGGAGCCTTTCATGGGGATGTAGGTGGATCACAGGAGATCGCACATAGCTCAATTTTTACTGGGTTGTTGAGGTAAACACATCATTTTGCGGGCTTGCAGTTCTGGGAGTCAGTTCAAGGGGTCGGTTTGCTCTTTGCATGTTGCTGCAGGGAACGGGTGGGAAAATATATATATATATATATATATATATATATATATATATATATATATATATATATATATATATATATATATATATATTAAATTAGTAGAAAATCACTTAACAAAAATTTTTTTCATTTTATACTGTGTTTTATCAACAGGGACAAATTAATAAAACTTCAATTTGTATCAAAATATTAAATTACAGGAACTTGCAAATGTTTTAATTACTGTTAAGTTTCACACATTTGTGGAATTTGCTGACACTATTATAAAAAGAATTCTTTAGAAATGATTACTTATGCTTTTTTTTATAAAAATATTTTAAAAAAAGGGGGGATTTAATGTAACTATTATTTGAGCTCACTAATTTTTATAGTTTTTGAGTAGAAACTTATTTTCGTGTCTGCATTTATAAATCAATTCCAATTTTTTGTTTAACAAACATTCTTGGTTTGCATGTGTAATTATTTTGAAATTTTTCTTGTAGACATAGTAAGCATTTTTTGGAAATATTGTTGTATGCAGGCGCTGTTTTAAGGATGGACCAATTCAGTATAAAATCATTAATATTTTTATCTTTTAGTTCCCATATATATTTTGACAGCATGGTGTCTTTTGAATACTTTTTATTTTTAAAAGATTGATTATGATTGGCAAAACGTTTTTTCCATTCACCCTCTGTTATGCCAATATATTGTTTATCAAATCAAAGTTGCTGGTGTACAAGAAAACCCACCCTCCAAAAATCAATTACTTGACTGAAAAACTCTCAATCCTGGGTACTATAAAAAAACTGCTGCAGAGCCTCTTGGTACGCAGCACTAAAAGTTCTTCCATCCAGGGATTTTATACACCATACACAATTAATTTTATATATATTCATACACAATACTCATTTGAAAAGAACAATGCCCCTGTACCAAGTTGACCATCACAAAATAAAAGAACCAAAAATGAATTAGTTACCACCAAAAAACAATGTCTCCCACCCATTCCCCGCATCAACATGTAAAGAGCAAATGGACCCCCCCCAAACTGACTCCCAGAACTGTAACCTTGCAGACGGAGCCAAAGAGCATTACAGAACACTCTGTATAGCCCCTCAAATTCTCTGGAAGGTGATAGAATAGCCACACTAAGGCTGTTCTATCACCTTCTAGAAAAACATTCTGGAAAACTCCAGACCACTCTAGAAAATTCTGTCCCACTCTAAAAAAAACATGGAACATTCCAGAAAACTTTGGAAAAGGACAAAACAGGCAACAACAATCTATGGAACACAACAGAAATCGACAAAAATCATAGGAAACGCTCAACCCGTCCCCCAGACCATTTTGACCTCCAAGTTCAGACCCGAGATCAACCCCACTCCTGGAGGTGAGGAACAACTCTGCACTTCACAAGGAACACTCTATCCAGCCCCCCAACCCAGAAATGACCATTTGAAAGCCCCTGTGACTCCATGCAGCCTCCAGTGACCTCCAAGGTCAACTTGACATAGCCTATGTCACTCCCTGGATCATGGGAATCATCCATGCCAAGTTTCAAGTTTCTAGGACCATCGCTCTGGCTGTCCTAACAGGGAACAAACAATCAAGCAATCAATCCAAATTGACAAATATATATATATATATATATATTTATATATATATATATATATATATATATATATATATATATATATATATATATATATATATATATATATATATACATATATATATATATATATATATATATATATATATATATATATATATATATATATATATATATATATATATATATATATATATATATATATATATATATATATATATATATATATATATATATATATATGATAGATAATGTTTTATATATATAATATCATTTCATTTTTTTAAAAACCATTTATCTTTCTGAAATCTCTGTATTTAATGATAATTTTTTTAGGAACATGCTCTACTGGTGGTTTTGCATCATGTTCAAGTATTTTTTTTATTAAAATTTTAAAATAGATACTTAAGGTAAATATTTACTTTACTTTAAATTAAGTGCAAATGGTTTTTTATTACATAGATATCCCCATTTATAAGTGTGACTTTGAACAACAAGTACTCTGTCCTCAATTAAGTACAACAAACAATGATGCTGTGGTAGTAATTGAATATGCAGTGCCAGTAGATGAGACTGGTCCATATGGAGCTGCAAATGGTCAATTTTACGCTTACTTTAACTCAGACAAATATCCAGCTGGAGGCACACTTATTTACACTCAAATAGCACCACTACTAAGCAATACTTTTATTCTTTCATTTAATTTACATGCTTATGGTGCAAACTGCATTAAATTTGGTGAGACTTAAATTTTTTAGAAAAAAATGTAGATTTTTTTGTTTTGTTTTAAAATGTATAAATTTTATTTATACTAGAAATTAAATTTAAAAATGCAAATGGTGTTGTTATAAGTGCTCCTGATGAATTTGTTATTTACAATCAAACTCAACTTGAATATTTTAGTCCTTATAAGTATTATGAGAAGATGTTTAATTTGTCTAGTCCATTCAAGGTATTTTTGTTTTAAAAAGTTTACAATTTTTTGTATATAATTTAAAAGTGATCATTTTGTAACCAAGTTACCATTTTATTAATTTAAAAAATATATGTTCAAATTTTTTTAATATTAGATAATTGAATTTATTGCAACTTCAAATGGTTTTCGAGCTAGCTATGCAATTGATGATATTGTCTTAAAATTTGTTCGTAAGTACTTTAGTAGTTGTAGTACTTACAACACACACACTCACATACACACATGTACATGCACACACACAATTTTCAGAAAAGATTTACTGACATTTATTAACCTAAAATAAAGTTTTAATTCTTTTTCAACCATTTTCATATTTATTAACAAAAAATAAAGTTTTAATTTTTATTCAATATATATATATATATATATATATATATATATATATATATATATATATATATATATATATATATATATATATATATATATACCCAAGTAGCAAACAATATTGGCGCAATATTATAAACTATATTGCGCCAATATTGCAATGTGAACATTTGATAATATTGCCAGTACAATATTGCGCCAATGTTGTAAAGACAATATAGGCCAATATTGGCAAAATGTTTACATTTTTTTTTTATTGAAAAATAATAAAAAATATTGTCTTCTACAAATTTTTAATAATTAAAGTTTATTATAGTTTTCTTGTTTAAATGATACTATAGGTCCAGGCTGCATTATTCTTTTGAGTTAAACAGGTTATAGTATTGGTGTACAGCCATTAAGCCATTATAGTATTGACAGTATTGGCACAATATCGGAAATCTCATCTAATCTTCAGCTTGTTCAAAAGATAATCCAAGATATCCGATATTGCGCCAATATCGCGCCAATATTGTTAGCTACTTGGGTATATATATATATATATATATATATATATATATATATATATATATATATATATATATATATATATATATATATATATATATATATATATATATACCTAAGTAGCAAACATTATTGGCGCAATATTGTTTGCCAATATTGGTACTTGACAGTATTGGCGCATAATCAGAATTCTCATCTCATCTTTAGCTTGTTCAAAAGATAATCCAAGATATCAGATATTGCACCAATATTGCGCTAATATTGTTTGCTACTTGGGTATATATATATATATATATATATATATGTATATATATATATATATATATATATATATATATATATATATATATATATATATATATATATATATATATATATATATATATATATATATATATATATATATATATATATATATATACTGTCACAGACGATATTAAGTTACATAGTTAATAAAATTTAAATTTAAACAACAAAAGCTAAATTATTTATATCAGGATCAATGAAATAATTTTTTGTGTATTTTAAATTTGATATCAAATTTGAAATACACAAAAAATAAACTTGATATCAAATAGAAACAAATATGTTGGTAACTTTTTTTTAACACAATTGCAAAACTAACTCAATCAAATAAATTTAACTGTTAAAAGTAAATGAAATTAAGTCTAAGAATCTAACTGTTAAAAATAAATGAAAAAAAAGTAAGAAACATTTTACAAAAACAAAAGTTATAAATAAAGAGTTTTTATAATGAATGCTTTGTCAGTAACTTTTTTTTCACCACTAAAATTTAATTTTATCATGATCTGATTTTCATTTCAGTACTTTGTATCACCACCCCTTGCTGTAACAACTTCTTCTAATTGTTAGCCAATCTTATCTTAGCCAATCAGATGTTACAAGCTTTGACATCAATACCAGTTGAATTTTAAATTTTTACTCAGAACATAAAATTCTTGTTTGTTTTTTTGCTTTAAAGGAGGTGATTTGGATGTAGAAATTACCCATAAATTTTCAGTGGGGTTAAGCTTTAGAGGAAGCCATTTAAAGATATTAACTTTTTTAGAGGAATTTTGTTTGTGTGTTTTTGTTTGCCATTTTATTTGTGCGTTTGGAGTTGTTGACTTGTTAAAATAAAAATTTGCAATAGAATTGCAAGTTTTTTTTCTTTCACTAAAGAATTGCATTTTGAGTTTGCAATCTAAGTTTAAATTTAGTTGTTTAAATTTAAGTTTTAGTGAATGGACATAATTTAAAAAATAGATATCTTCAACAATCACCAGTTTTTCTGTTTTACATTTTTAAAATGGGCTTGTATTGGATTTCTATCTAAAAGTGGTCTGCGCCAAAATTTGTTGTTTTTTAAAGCTTATTGTTACAAATTTACTCAAATTCGACCATTAAACTGATTTCTGACCCGTATCAATATGCATTTTTACAAATGTTGAACATTTTTTTTGTTTGTACCATATTTGAAGGGTTTACTTTTCTAAAGATGGTTTATTAAACCATTTTAATCTTTTATGCACAGACAAACTGGAAACATTTAATTTTTTGTTTTGACATTACTTTTTTTGTTTTGAGGTTATTGTTGAATTTTCTTTTTCTCCTATGCAATCAACATATCAGTTCTCAGTGAAGTCTTGAGGTCGTGAAAATCAAAAAAAAATTTGAAAATCAATTTTTTTTTGATTTTCAAAAGAACAAGTTATTTCATTTTTTATATACATTTAACACTATTTATTGATAATTGATATTTTTCAGAAAATTACTGCACGCGAGGCCACCACTCCAGTCGTAAAGGACCTAAGTCCTGAAGTACAGTGAATAATTCTGCTGATAAACCATTGTTATTATTGATTTTATTTTTTCTAAAATAAATTCCAGAAAAGTTTAAAATGCTTATTTATAATAACTTGAAAAAAAATCCTTGTTAATGGACAATTATTATCTTTAATCAACAAGTTTCAATGACTTTTGTTGATTTTTACATAGTTGCATGTAAAAATCAACAAAATGTATAATTTTTACATAAAATGGTGTGCTATAAACCCTATTCATTTGTGCTATAACTAACTGAAATAAAAAATTGTTAAAAATTTTGTTTATAAATAAGTTTTGAATTATTAACTTCAAAACTGTGATCTTTACACAAGTCTATCAAGCAAAAAACTTTTAAATTTAAAAATATAAATTTGGTTTATAGCTTCTTTTTTACTTTTGTTTTATTTTCTCTTAGGTTAAGATTTTTTTTTTTTTAATTTTTGGTATTTTTTTCAATTTTATTTTGTTTCCTTTCACTTTTTAAGCACCATTTTTAAAATGCACGAAAATCATACTATTATAAAAATTGTATGAGAAAAAACTGAAATAAATAGGATTGGGTGAATCAAACAATAGGATTGGCCATATCAAGCAATAGAATTAATAAGAAAAACAAAGATAAAAGATTCAAGTGATCCAAAATTTTCTAAAACATTAACTGTTGTTGCACAAATTTGCCATTCATTGAGTCTAGTCTATCAACTAAAGCAAGATATTCAAAAGATATTTGTTACAAAAATAAGTTAATGGGGTTTAGAGGAAAGTTAATAGGGTTTAAGAAAAAATTAATAGGGTTTAGAGAAGTATATAATTGGAATAATCTTTTAATTAAATTAACAAATTCTATATGATGAATTTTGAATTGAATTATCAATATTTCACATGATTTGTTAAATTTAAAAATTTATTGGATATTTGTTGTTCCATAGTCATAATATACATAGTCCGGCCAGTTTAAGAGCGCTATTGTTTATCTTATTGTCAGCTTTTTTTTAGAACCCAGTCTACCAATGAGTGCACACTTTTTGTAAACAAATGCGAATACTTACAAGAAGATTATTGATTTATCCTTGATTTTTGCAAATGCCTTGTCTTAATTGTTACATATTTGGTTCTGGAACTTTTCGAAGAAGTATAAATGTTTTTCTGTTGGAAATATTTTCTTCCGATGATGATGTTTATAACAAGGAATCAAGAAGAAAAATTTTACAAATTATAAATAAAAATAAATCTTTAGTTATAATATATTTAGTTATAATATATTAAAACTAAACATTTTCTTCTGAAGCAGATGAAAGTCAATATTTAAATATTTACATTAAAAAAGATCAATGTTTATTACAGTTGTGCCTAACCTTATTTCATTTTTAAAAAGTATCAAAGCTATTTTGTGGCTATTTTTATAGCTAAAATCTTATAAAAACATTATTTGGTATAAATTAAAAGATAAAAATTTTTTATCTTCAATACAAGAATATCACAAGATTTAATGGTTTATGCAAAGCTTATATATATATATATATATATATATATATATATATATATATATATATATATATATATATATATATATATATAAATATAGATAGATATATAATATATATATATATATATAAATATAGATAGATAGATATATAGATATATAGATATATATATATATATACATATATATATATATATATATATATATATATATATATATATATATATATATATATATATATATATATATATATATATATATATATATATATATATATATATATATATATATATATATATATGTATATATATTTTTAAAAAGAGTTTAAAAACCCTTTTTAGATTTTTTTTTTTCCAAACAAATTTGTTCTATTTAATATAGAATTGATTTTATGCAAGTTTACAGCTCCTTTTTTATGCAAGTTTATAGCTCTTTTGAATAGGATGAGCGAACACAAAAACAAAGTGGTAAAAGATGGTCTAGAAAATTAATAGTCACTTCTTTAAACATCTCGGTCAAATCAAAATAAAAACTATAAATTTTGGATAAAAAATCTTCAACTGCACTATAAGTAATTTTTATAACTTCTTTTTATTAACTTGAATGATAGCTTTGTATTATCTTTTAAAAATATGTACTTTGAAAGCTCATCCCTGATATATGGAAGGCAGCAAAGATTGTTTATAACAATAAGAATGTTGTTTAAAACAAAACTGATGAATCTCTTTGCAGAACACGTTGCAGCAATGATTGTTTGTAACAATAAGATTGTTTTTTTGAACAAAATTCATGAACTTATTTGTAGAACACGTTTGCTTAACATCGGTTTATGCATTTATTTGCTGTATTAAAGAGAAACTCTTTGAATGCTGCTTTGTTATGAAGCGTTTGAATTTATGCTCCGACTTACATTTAATCTTACACTGGTGAAAGTAAATTTGGTCAAAACGTTTTTACTTCTAATTTTAACGAGAAAAGAACTGAAATCATTGATAAACTTGAGTTTACAAAAAAATATATCTGATTCTAGATCTAATATAAAGTAATTGAAGCACTGTTTATCTGTTGAGTTCGCCATTTTTTAGATTTTTGTGCACTTATTGGTAGTCTGAGCATGATAAATAAACAATTTTCAACATAAATTCAAAGTTTTAAATTTTATTGTTTAAAAACAATAGAATCTTGCGAAAACGGCCCAACTGGCCGGACTATCTGATATTATGACTATGGTTGTTCTTACTTACTCAAATCTTATGTATAATAACTACCAGTTTGTTTGTTTTTTAGAAAATTTTTTTTTTTTTTTTTATTAATAGATAGGAATTTGTAAATCGATATGTAATTAATTTTCTTATAACTATTTTTCATTATTAAATTTGCTTGTTTTTATAAATCGTAACAATATTTAGTTAGAAATAAGCATTAAACAAGTTTAATAATGCTAAACAAGTAACAATAGTAATAAAAGTGCATATAATGAAATTAGCATCTTTAATATTTCAATTATTTACCTGTTTAGCTCCTTGCTTATTATCGTGTAATTCTAATGCAACATGTAATGGTACTACTTGTGTTTGTAATCCTGGTTTTATTGGTGATGGAGTAAATAGTTGCACAGGTTGTTTTTTTAATACATTTTTTAATACATTGTTTATCCTGTATAACTGGATGTGTTGAGTTCAGTCACTCATCCGTTGTAAATTTCTAGGTAATATAAGGTTTTTTAAACCCTATACAGCCCTCGAAATAAAATAAAAAACCAGCAATAAATTGCCTATTTAAAAGATTTTTTGGTTGGCACAAATTTGCACAAAATCTTTTTGTATCATAATATGTCTATTTAAAATAATTTAAGTTTACCACACATTGTTTAGATTGTTGGTAATTTACATAATTTTATAAATTTTTGACAATTAAATTTAAAAACATTTTTATTAACTGAAAGTTTAACTTACTTAAAAAATAACAAATTATTTTTAGGAAGAAGATTTGGTTTAGTTAAAAATTTGTTTAACACATATTTTAGCTAATTTTATATATATTTTTATTTTAAACACTAT